AGAGAAGACAGTCCCATTGTGAAACAGAAGAGAATGAGTGGCTGTAGCAAGGGTGGGCACATTTCTAAGAGTCAAGAAATGACAAACTCCCCCAAGAAGAATGAGATGATAAAGGAATCTGAAAGCAGTATTAATGACTCCAGCCTTAATTCTCAGGGTAGTGGGAAGCCACCGAGAATTTTAGGCAGCCTTCTTGCTGACAAAGATGAGCACAGCAGCTCTGCAGGAACTGAGCTGGAGGGAGTAAGTGAGAGTGCAGAGGCCACGGCAGAGCAATGACCTGGGCCTGGTCCTGAGAAGTGGCAGCTTAGAAAGTCAGAAATAGGTGGATTCAGAGGGAGACCTGATTAGACCTGTTGGTCAGTTAGACCTCAGTCTAATCCATAAGTCGAGGAGGAAACCGCAAAATACAAGTATCAGCTAGACAAGCAGAAGTCAAATATGTTAGTGAATTAAGTAATGGAGTTTTTAAGTTTGCAGAACTGGATAAACTAATAATCTACTACCACCTGAAGATGATTTAAGATGCCATACTCCACAGAAGAAAACAGGGACATTTGAAGAAAATGACATGAAAAAGAGAAGGGAGTAGGAGTAGCCAAGGTGGAAAAGAGAACAGATACAAGCAGCAGCCCTGGCCAGCAAGAATAAACTGAAGAGAAGATGCACAGCAGAAGGGGCCACAAGGCTGGAGAAACACAAACTATATCCTAAGCCTCAGGATACGCAAACCATTATCAAAGTATCACTGCTGAGGCTGTTGGCATCCTGGCAAGAAGCACTGGCATCTTAAGCGTCACTGCATCACCAATGTAGCTATAGAGTCCTCAAGCAGCCAAGGGCAAAAGGTGATAGGATATTTATTTGGACCCAGTAACAACCTAAGTCACAATAGGGCACTTAATGTTTAAGCACTGGTTCTCAAAAATCTTTAGTAGTGGCTATACAGACCAACTGTGTGCTGTAGAAGATTCTCTAGTTATCACAAGGGTCTTTGAGTGAGGCAAAAATGAGACTTTTGTTGTTGTTCATATAATGGTAAACATACCTACACTACTCACTATGGGTTGGACACTGTTCTAACTTACCTACAAACTCATTCAGTTGTTACAGCAGCCCTATTTGATACAGATACCATTACTGCCATCTTACAATTAGGGGAAACTAAGGCACAATTCATGCTTTTGAACATTCTGCAATATTTCCTATCTGCAGCATACTAAGAGAAAACTGAGGATCTTATTTTTGTCCCAAGTTGAACCATTTTTGTTGAGATATAATTGACACTGTATTAGTTTAAGTGTACAATGTCTAGTTAACAGCCATCATCACACACAGCCATAAGTTTTTTTCTTATGAGAACTTTTAAAATCTACTCCCGCTCAGCAACTTTCAAATATACAATACAGTAGTACTGACTATAGTCACCATGCTGTACATCATATCCCTATGATTTATTTATTTTATAACCAGAAGTTTGTACCTTTAGACCACCTTCACCAATTTCGCCGCCCCACTTCCTCCTTTCAGTGACCACTAATTTGTACCTGTGGGTTTTTGTTTGTTTAAAGATTACACATATAAGTGATACTATACGGTATTTGTCTTTCTCTAATTTATTTAACTTAGCATAATGCTGTCAAGATCCATCCATGTTGTCACAAATGGCAGGATTTCCTTTTTTTAATGGCTGAAAACTAGTGTGTGTGTGTCTGTGTGTGTGTGTACACACTCCACATTTCCTTTATCCATTCCCTCCTCGATGGACACCTACGGTGGCGTCCATGTCTTGGCTACTGTAAATAATGCTGCAATGAACATGGGGTACAGATATCTTTTTGAGTGTTTTTGTTTCCCTTGGATAAATACCCAAAAGTAGAAATTGCTGGATCATATGGTAGGTCTAGTTTTAACTCTTTGAGGAACCTATATACTGTTTTACCATAGTGACTGCATCAATTTACATTCCCACCTGCAGAGTTCCCTTTCACCACATCCTGGCCTTGTTCTTTTGTCTCTTTGATAACAGCCATTCTAACAAGTGTGAGATGATGACTCACTGTGGTTTTGATTTGCATTTCCCTGATGATCCGTGATGGTGAGCGCCTTTTCATGTACCTATTGGCCATCTGTTTGTCTTTCTTTGGGAAAATGTCTATTCAGATATCCTGCTCATTTTTAATCAGATTTTTTCTTTTTGCTATTGAGTTTTATGAGTTCTTTATATATTTTGGATATTAACTCGTCAGATTTGCAAATATTTTACCATTTGGTAGGCTGCCCTTTCATTTTGTTGCTTTCCTTTGCTGCGCAGAAGCTTTTTAGTCTGATGTAGTCCCACTTGTTTATTTTTGCTTTTGTTGTCTTTACTTCTGGCTCTCAAGGGAATAAAAAAACACCACAGGGAACTCCTATTTCTGTCTCAATGAAAGACTAGAGATATATATATATTTAAGATCAGAGATTTTTGTGAACCACCACAGTTCCTGGCCACGTGCACGTCATGAGGGTGGTTTTGAGGATTCATTCATTGAACAATGCAGTACATAGTATGCATTAACTATTGCCCACAGTGTTGCTAGAAACTCAAAAACACAGCCTGGCCTATCTTTTACTAGCCATGTGACTGGAAAAATTATTTAACTTGTCGTTGGCCTCGGTTGCCTAATATACACAATGGGGATAATAATAGAACCTGCTTCAAAAAGATGTTAGGACAATAAAAAATTTATCACATAATCATTTAGAACAGTGTCTAACACATAGGAAATAATAAATGCAAACCAATGACATTATTTTATATGAAAAGAATTATAAAGCTCACAAATTTCTTTTAAACCACGTCTTTGCTTTCGAGTATTCACTTATGAACCAGGAAGTTACTTGTAAGAGATGAATAACAGATTTGATTATTCAAGCCCCAAACTAAACAGACTAGAAATCCTGAAGAGATAGACAATTTAATTCGATGTCTTTTCAACAACTGGTGCTGGGACAAGTGATATCCACGTGCAAAATAATGTATTTTTATATAGTTTGATGTAATCCCATTTGTTTGTTTTTGCTTTTATAATAAAAAAGTGGAACGACTACCTCACACTATATATTACCCCAAAATTCCACTCCTAGGTATATAACCAAGAGAAATGAAAACATGTCCACACAAAAACTATACACTAATGTTAATGGCATTATTTATAATAGTAAAATAGTGGTAGCAACCCAGAGACATCAACTGAAAAATGAATAAACAAAATGTAGTCTATCCATACAATGGCATATTATTCATCCATAAAAATGAATGAAATACTGATAAATGCCCCAACATAAATGAACCTTGAAAACATTATGCTGAATGAAAGAAACCAGTCATAAAAGGCCATATATTATATAATTCCATTCATATGTAACATCTACAAAGTAGATTAATGGTTAAGACCTGGGGCATGGGGAGGGTGAGGGGGTGTCCGAAAGCAAATGAGGTGTGACTGCTAAGGAATATGAGGTTTCTTTTCGGGATAGAGAAATTGTTCTACAATTGACTGGTGATATTAAAAACCACTGAACTGCACACTTTTAAATGGCTAAATTGTATAATACGTAAATTTTACCTCAATAAAACAAAAACATACTAACTCATATGCTCCAAAGTAAAAATATTTCTTTCCTTCATAATGTAAATTCAGTGCAAGTACACTCTAAGAAGGGAATGAATGATTTTAAAAAATAAAAGCAAATGAGCAAGAATACCTATAGCATGATATCATTTATGTCAACTGAAGATTATTTAAGATAATAGCTGTTGCTTAGGGATCTATTCATGCGCAGCATAAAGATCTGCAGAGGAAAGAAACCCTTCCCACTGGCAGAAAGATGCAGCTGAGGAGGGCAAGTACACAGGAGGGCTTTAGCTAGGAAAAGGCTACCATTTGCCTTTGATTCATTTATCTTTTAAGTCGGCCATTTTTTTAAAGGCTGATAATCAGATTTTTTCCCTTGAAGAAGAAAATTTCAGAACAGTTTCTTGAGTTGGTCTCAAAATATACCTTGACATGCACAGTATATTAAATATTGTGCAAAAGAATAAAGTAGTTATCCAGTAGAGATTAGAGTATGTTCAGCAAGTCTTAAGATAGAGAAATGATATCATACAAAGATTTCTACTACAATACATTTTTGCAGATAGTGTAAATCTGCAACTATGTCAGAACACCAGGGTGTAGTATTTCTTCCATTCGTCACATCAGATCATTAATGCCTTGGTCTTGCTCTGCTCTTCAATGAATAAAGTAATTAAATGAAGATCAAAGAATACCTTATGTTATGGTAGCTTTGAATGTCAAAATTATATTCTCTTCATCTGACCTGTATTGCCCTTACCAAATCTCATGATTTTAGTTATCCCACTTAAAAGCACAGGCAAAGACAACTTTAAGAATGTTTAGCTTTCTACGCACAGTTTGATGTCTGTGGGTATATATATATAAAATGCATTTTTGTAAATCAACGTAAAAATTCTTAGTAATGTTGAATATTTAAAAAATTCGAATGCAACACTTACCCTAAAATCATTCTTAAATTTCTTTAAGTCATCAATCTGTTTTCTATGCTCAGAAACAATGGGTGATATACCTGTAAAATTAGGAATTATTAGACATAGATTTATTTCTAATTTTTAACTTAAAATTCTTTGAGGATGAGATGTCAGAAATAATAAGTTCTTCTATAAAAATAATAATAAACTTCAATATATTAATTATAGACCTTGGCATTTGTCAAATTATGCATTTAAATATGTACAATACTAAGAAAAAGCACTGACCCAAAATAAAAATACTCTGTATCAGACATTAGATTAGACATAATCCTTTCTATTTCTACAGTTATACATACAGACTTTATAAAGCTCTAACCTTTATTTTCAGCTTTTGAGAAGCTAGGTGATGTCTCATTGGGCTTCATATTTTCTTTATTCCCTGCCGGAGAATTCTGCCTCTGATCTTGAAGCCTGGGATCCTTAGCTAGAAGATAATTTTTTTTTAAATGCAAAGTTAGAAATTAGAAAAATAAAATGGGAAAATACTCAATAATTTTGATCTCCTGTGTTTTTTGGGGAAAAAAAATTTCCATTTAAAGATTTTCTCTGTTGCAGACATATGAAACACCAATAATTCTATTTA